CCGGAGCGAAGAAAAACTTGAGGTTCTCAAGGGTCCTATTGAAGAACTTCTTGGTGCTGGCAATGGAGCTTCTTAGCAGCATTGGTGAGGGTATAGTTGACGGCCAAAGAATCAGACTTTGTGTGGCGGGTTTGTCAGGGAAGAGAATAATACCGTGTGCCTGTGATTGTCAAAGTTGGGGTTGCAGGGTGATGATGCGAAGAAGAATTCTTTATACGGGCAAAAAAAAGCAGAGGAGCCATTAAAGCTTGTTCTGGTTCAACCTTTTCCTCATAAAAATTCCCTTTGCATTTTATCGTAGCCTTTTGTCTCCACCAGACACGCCATATTGTTCCCTTTCCGCTTCCAAACGGGACCCACGACGACCTCCAAAGCTCGCAATCTGTGTCTTATCAGGGCGGGGAAGACGGTGACTGATTTCCACTTTGTGTGTGTGTGTGTGACACATAAATATATATATATATATATATATATATAATGAATGTTTCGTTGCCTTTACTTTTAGTGGTGGAGTTGGTGTGTGGCCGCTTTGGTAAAAAGAAAGAAGAAAGGAGCGGGGTGTTTCTGAATTGTGCCACTTTTTTATAATAAATGTCTTCATCGTATGCTGATGTTTCTGTAATAATTACAGATGATGTCAACTGATTGATTGATTGGCATAATTTAACCAGGGTCCGCCAACTTTTGACTAAAAAGAGCATTTACTATGAAAGTTGGACAATGTCGGGATTGAATGGAAGATGGATGGACGCTGGACAATATGAGAATGATTACTGTAAATGAAGGATTGAGAGCCGAGCTAATGCAGGGGGTGAGGGCTCGTTGGGAGAATAAGAATGGAACGAAAAGTGGGTGGAGACTGGAGAAGGTGAACGACTGAAGAAAGGCGAAGCAAAGGAAACGTAACGAGGCAAGAGGATGGTAACCGCACATCAAACTTGAGCAGTGGGAATGGGCCACGTGTCTCAATGCTTGTTGAGCTATTCACCTCCTGCATAGTGCATACGCAACTACCCATTTCTTGTCATTTTATACTCCGCATGGTGCCCTCCTGGGAATTTGCCTTGAATGATACGAATATGCCCCTATATGGCTTGTGATACCTTTCTTTATTATGACGGCCCAGTGCTTGTGGAATAATATTCTCAAACACCAACGAATTCTTGAAGCCACACGGTTGGTTTTGGAAGCCAAGGCAAGTCTGACATTTCTGGGTCACTCTATGTGGAGTCTAAAATTAATAGGAACAATCACTTGATATTTTCATTTCATACAAGCAAAATGTAGTACAAATTTTCGTCTTAAGTTATATTAAACTAGAATGATTTTAGGCCTTGGTTGCATGATTTTATATTATTTGTGTTTTAGAACTTTCTTGGAGCATTTTGAGATGTTTTGGGCTGTATATCAAGTCATTCTCCCAACCCAATCTATTCGATGTGGCCCAATCATGTTCTTAGAGGCAAACATACTAATTCTAAGTTTTAAATTACATGCGCATGGTGTTCTCACTGCTGGCAATACTAAGGTGGGCTTCTGGTTTTACTCCATCTCTTGGTAGACGTATTTGAAATAGAAGAAAGAAAAATTACAATAAAGTCCCAAACAAATAAAAAAAAACCATCAAAAAATCCCGATAACAAGTGCTACAGCTTGAAATTACATGTTATTCAATTATTTTAAGACTTCTTAATTATTATATTTCTTCTTTAGGATTTTATTGTAATTCTTCCTTAGAAGAATGGGCTATTTTTAGGGGTCTGAGGTTGATTTGGGATTTGGGATTCAAGAAAGTTATTATTGAACTGGATGCCAAAAATTTTAATCCATATGTTGCTGATTAATGGCAAAGATCAAATCTGTAATCTTGTGTTTCTTCAAATTCGAAGCACGATGAAGTTTGATTGGGATCTTCAAGTGAATCATGTTTTCAGAGAGTATAATAGAGTTGCGGTTGCTTTAGCTGAGATGAAGTTGACAAGTTCCAATTTTTTTGGATGAGTGTCCTGTTCATATCAGGAATCTAATGTCTAAAGATTGTATGAGCTTAAATTCTTCCACTATGATCAGTTTTTGTTTTGGGGCATCACACTCCTTTTGGACCCCAAAAAAAAAAATCTTTACTCATAATAATGGGAAGAGAGATACTCGCACACGAGACATTCACCTGAGTCTTTGATTTCCAGTTGCCTTCAAAATAGTACAGCATCCAGAGGATCCGTATGTTTGATTGTTGGTGTTGGTCAGAGAGGACCCGTATGTGTTCCCAAAAGCGGCAACATTCCCAGTCTGGGCACTGAAGCCACCTCCGTAACTGGGCTTGCCTCTTTCTTCATCTTCCTCCCCATTAGGCCCACTCACCCATCCCTGCCCTTAAGCCCATCTTCCCTAAACGCTACACCACCCCTCGGTTTCCTTTTTTAGGCCCTGTCACTATGCCCCCCCTAATTTATTGCTTTGCTTAATGCCATGAAAAAACAGAAATTTTTTTGATTAAAAAATAAGCGCAAATACAATAGAGCGAAGAATAAGAAACAAAAGTAAAAGAAAAACATGGGTGGTGGGGGGGTTGTCAAGAAGAATTTACAACTTAGTGACATAAATGCTCTTATGTGGGTGAAAATTTATGAGTTCAACCTGATTTGTCCAATCAAGAGCCTTGTTTGGTGCACCCAAAATCATGGTTTGGGAGGCCAAACCATGTTTTGGGTGAGATGTCACCCAAACATTATCAATTTTGGAAAAATAATCCAAAATTATGGTTTTAGAGCTCAAAATCATGGTTTCAGGAGAAGTGAATCCATTATACTTTTGGTTCCAATTGGAGAGTATGATTATGCCTGTCAGAGTATATCTCAACAATAATATGACTTTAACATCCCTCAATTATTTTTTTATAAACATATTTAATCTTATATCTTATAAATATATATGCACATATTAATTATTTATTAATTATATTATCTTATGTATTATTAATTATGTTGGTAAAAAATATATTATTAACAATTTTATTCCTTCAAATTAAAATATATCATAAAATCTATCTTTTATATAATTATCATATTAACTTATACAGTTTTAGTAATTTGTATATATAAAAAATGCTCCTGATAATAACTATCCAAACATTCTCACTTCTCACAATCACTTTTTTACAAAATTTATTTTTTTAAATTTATTTTTAAAAACTATTCTCTAAATTATGATTTGGTTTCATCCAAACGCGTCAGCGAGAAAGAGGAGCTCGGTAACCCAAAAAATGCGATAATTAATGGCGAATGGTAACGCCACAGACACAGACCCATTCATTAATGGCCCTTCATTCTCATTACCCGAATTGCAGTGCCCCTTCTGCATCCCTAATCACTCTGACTGTGACTCCCTTCCTTAGTTTGCATTAATTCCTCTCTGCTTCTCTCTTTTCTTCTGTTCCATTGCTTTCCCTTCCTGCATTCCGAATTCTCCTCTGCCTCTTCTCTCTCTCTCTCTCTCTTCTATTTGCTCCCATTCTTTTCTTATGTGTTATTGTCATCCCCCCAAAAAACACAGCCTTCTTTTAAGCCCTGACACTGCGTCTGCTTTGTTATGCCTCAGATAATGATCACTCATACACATCTCACATCCTCTGTTCTCTGCTCTGATCAAACGCATTTGCCTAATAATGCAGCCAATCACCGTTTTCCTTCTTTACTTTGTCTCTTTTCTCCATCCTTGCTGTTCATATTCAACTTGGTTTTATCTTTTCCCTGATTTTTCGAATACAGATTTTCTCCATTAGTATACTCTAATATCCAGTCTCTTGTGACTCCTAAATTATTCAACATCGGCTTTGTTCTTTTGTGTCACAAGAGAAACTGTATGGAAGATTCAAGGAATCTTTTGCTGCTGTTGCCTTCTTTTATTAATAGATCTAGACTGGTTAGTTTGAATCGCCATCGAGCCATATCCGCATCGTATGGATTTCCTTCAATGTGATCATTCAAAAACTAAAGCATGTGAATTTAAATACAGAAAGAGACCCCAGTATATTCGTCATGTGAATCCCCTACCAACGCATGGGCGAATAGTATATTACTCTTGCAGATTGGGTCAACTTTTACACCAGCTTCTGGGTTCTATTCTTTTGGGTTAAAAAATTTCTCAAATTTGACCTTTGGCCGCCATAAAGTAACAGTTCCCTAATAGGCCATATATATTTTTATCTTTTTCGACTCACAGATATGAATAATAACTTAATCATTTCAAATTGAGATCCCACTTTTCTTAGGCACATACGCACAAAAAAGAAAGTGGGGCTAAAAAAATGAAAGAGACAGATCTCACTCACTTCGTATCTTCCTTTTGCTCAAGGTGAAAAAGTGACACAAGTGAGACGGAAGATGGGCTAGAAACTTACAAAAGGTGGACAGAGATACAGTTTATATTGCAGCTTCCAAGGGAGGAAGCAAGGATTCTCAAGGGAACCAATAAGTTTCAAATTTTCAATGGAGAAGAAAGCTACTTTTCTTTGTTGGGGGGACTTCAGAAAACGAGTTAACCTTTTTGTATTCTTTTGGAGGAAAACAGATTCAAAAGGAGCAGCAACACGAGAGAGTGAGACAGCTTTTTATTGTTTTCAAACTACGGCTTCAAATCAAACAAAACCATCCCATCCCCATCTTTTCCTCATTTTAGGCCAAGAAGTCCAACGCAGAGCAGCTTGTTTCCCACTCGAATGATCTTTTCAACAAGGATAACCAAAAAGTCAGGCAAACAACTTTCTCTTAGCGTCAAAATGCATAACAAAACAATGAAAGCATAATCTCCATGTTAGGTATTTTTGTTGATTTTACTACCACCTTCGGAGATACAGTTCTTCGTCAGTTTTATCTGTATGTATATGAAGAAATATTCCGACGGGGAGCGAAACAAAAACGATAAAGAAAATCCGAAGAGTAGAAGATTCAGTTCCAGTCTTTCCAGACAAGACAAAAAAGAAAATAGAGCTTTGAAAGTAGCTTAGATTGAATAGGACCTGGAATATAATACAAGCGGCGAACTAAGTTAAGTTAGAACAAGACTATTTTCCATCGAAACAAACACAAATAACACATAATTCTTGAGTTTTAAAGCCAGTCAGAGAACAGAGCTTCCCAAATCTCGGTGAAAACCTCAACAATAATCTTATGATGATTATACGCATTGAGCGACAGAAAACATTGCAGGAGATTCTCCAAATCCTTAGGCGCAAATATCTGTTTCTCAACTATCATTTCCACCATTGACGTCCTGAAATCATTGTAAGGGTCACTGGATCGCTTCACTACGGCGAAGGTGTCCTTAACTCTTCCCTTCAATGGCATCACGCCCATTTCAGAACTTAGGCTCCCAGAACCCACTCGATCACCGTCCTTCTTTTTCCGGCTCGACCGATGACGACGGCGGCGAGAGCGGGAGGAATCGGAAGAGTGGCTTCTAGAAGAGAAAAGTGTTTCTGTCTCATCCTCTCCTTCGCTGTCATCGTCATCGTCGTTGCTGTACCACCAATAGCCTCCTATGGTTCCGTCCTGAGCGCAAGAGTTAAACGGGAACATATCCGAAGGCTTTCTTTTCTTACGGCTTTCTTTCTTCTTCTTCTTCTTCGTTTTTTTCTTCTTGCTCTTTTTGTTCCTCCCTGAATGTCTCAACTTCTCACAATAACCAAACTCGTCCTCGTATATTGGATTCAGAGGCGTGATTGGCGAAACCGGGGGGCACGGCCTTCCTTCGTGATTGCCGCAGAAAAGCGGCGAAGACGGCCACTCCGAAACTTTCTTTCTAGGAAGCGAATCAATAGTTTCAGAGGTTTCCAAGGCTTTGGGTCCACAAATGGAGGGAAAGGGACGGGCTTTAGGAGACGATGGCTCGATGGGATGAAAGCCACGGCGGCTGTGTTGGGGGAAGACGGCTTTTTCAGTCACATCGGAGATGTTGCGGGCGCGGCAAGAGCCGAAAGGGGAGAGGAACATGCGAGAGATTCGCATCTTGAGGCGAGTTTCCATTAGAGGAAACAGAAGGTAGCGGAAGGAAGAAAGAGGGGGGGGGGGATAGAAGAGAATGTGGAGGCGGAGAGCTGTGATGGGTAAGGAGAAAGGAAGTGGGAGAGATATAAATGCATGAGAAACTGAAAGTGGAAGTCGCATATAGTATCATCATATTCAAATCTTCTGAGACCAACTTTATGCTGTTTTTCTCGTCCTCTTCTCTGTCCTCATTGACTTATCATTACTTTTAAAAGCTGCTCTTCTATTGGTTAAGTAAATGCTCTCATTCACTATTAAGCCCCCCCAGCTCCATCTCAAAAAACCAATCACCGCCATATTAACTCTTTTTTTTTTAGTAGGATGGTATTGCTAACTCAGGATATCCCAACTTATCGGCCAGACTAATCTCAGGATGCCTCGCGCAGGTATCGAGCCCATGACGTGATAGGGAAGGCGTCTTGCGTTCCCGTTTGCGACCAGTCGGACCCGACCTTTGCAGGCATAAATGGAGAAAACTTTTTTTTCAAAATAATTAGTCGCACACAATTTGGTTGAATTAGAATTATAATTTTATTTACTCAACATAAATTAATGACAAGTTAAATAACTCTCCATCTTAACTACAGTTAACTCAGTAACTCAATACTATTTCCTCCCTTTTTTGCCAACTATTTCCTTTAATTCTTAATATACTATACTTAAATAATTTGAATAGATAAAAGAAGTTATGTATACTAGTATTAGTTACTTATAATGAATGTGACTTGATCTCCCCAAAATACTCATCCATATAATATTATATAATATATGAATATACAAATTAAATTAGGTAAATGAGTTTGAAAAATAATACTCAATCTAATCCTAAATATAAGATCTATTTTATAGTGTAAATATAGTGTAATTTATACTATAAAATAGGTCTTGTATTTAGAATCGGATGAGAAATAAATATGTAAGGCAAGATGGATTAACGTCTTATATTTACGATGAAATTCTATACTCTAATTAACTCTTATATCCGGGGTAAGGGAGTATAAAACCTACAACTTGCGATGCTTATCACACCTTAATGTGTCAGGGTCAGAGCAGTGGAACAGTAAAAAAAAAAAAGTGTAATAAAACTTGCGGGACAAGAACGCCAGAATAACAAGAGGCTTGCGAGAGAAGCACAATCCTCACTTGCTCGCCAAGTTTGTTTGGTAACCCCGAAGAAAGAGGTCTCAAACATATCAAGATTTGGAAGTGTACGTAGAAGACCCCGTTTTGGTGAAAATTAAGTTGGATTAATTAAGGAATCAAGTTTAGAGATAGCAGCAGCAATAATACAACAAAGATAACGGCCGAAGAGCAAGCCGGTGAGTCAATCACAAGCCTTCTACTCTCCACGAAATATAATGGGCGGATTAATTAATGCAATTCTTTAAACAGACTATATATTACTCCCTCCGTTTCTTATTATAAGAGACATTTGATACTTATAGCATGTTCCTAAATATAAGAGACACTTAAAAGTTGTCTCTACTCTTTTGTATTGATTTCCTATTTTACCCATATTTATTATCTCCAACTCACACTCTCTCTCCTGCCCACTTCTCTTTCTTTTAATAATTTACCATTGTTCTCTATCCTTATTAATGAGGGCATTTTTGAAAAGAAAATTATACTTTTTACACATTGATTGTTCTTAACTAATTTTAACTGTTTTTTTGATCAACGTAATTCGGTTATTCGTCTCTTATAATAAGAAACAGAGGGAGTAATAATTAAAGAATTGCTGCTGCTACTGATTATTGAGTGTTTATTGGTATTTTTGTCCGAGAAGAAGCAGCCAATATAATGAATGCAGAAAGTGATTGCTGGGGCGTGTGGAACATGTATAATTAATAGGAAGGTAGGGGTCTAGGGGACCAGGCCATGATATCTAAACAAGTGAGAGCATGATGGAACAGGTTTTGCAGGCGCTTAATGGTGTTTGAAATTCAAAAGGGAGTCGCCGTATCTGATAAACCACAACAAAACAAGAGCTTCCTCCATCTCTGTTGCCTTTCTGCAAGAATCTTCACCTAAACTCTTCTTCTTCTTCTTCTACTCTCCTATGAAATGAATTTCACATGTTGATTTTTTCGAGAGTAATAACGTTACTCTCTTACGAGCTTCCATTCCATTCTCATATATTCTTTGCTTATCTAGCAATAATGCATGTTTCTGTGGGTGTATTAATTCGGATATTAGATAATTCAGTAATAACTATTGTGATAATTTATGCACCGCATGTGTAATCTTAATCACAGCATTGAATCATTTTTTGATATGGAATTATATATATATCTTTCTCATTAGCCTATTAATTAATAATTTCTATGACAATTTATCTTCGTATGCAATTACTTCAAAATTGTTTTATGTCTCATCAATCAATATAATTACAATATATATTTTGAATATAAATTTTTTTTAACTATTTGATGAAATGAGTATTTTTAATTATTAAGTTGTTGTAAAATTATTTGATATGAAATCTCAATATAGATAAAAAAAGAAAAAAGAAAAAAGAAAGAGATATTTGGAATACAGTATAATTATAAATAAAAACATACTCTATCAAAGCTATTTTCGTAGCTCACAAGTCTGGTTACTGCTAAAGGATTGAAAGTTTATTGCTTTATATAATTATTGAGATAATGTTTCCATTAGCTTGTTTATATCTAGCTAGTCACATGGTCACGGTATAATAAATGGCAAATTAATTCATAATTAAAAGACATTTCCTTATACCCGAAAAAAGACATTTCCCCGGAGACTAAGATTAATTAATAATTACCTATAATGAAATCATCTCTCTCTCTCTCTCTCACTAACACACACAGCAATTATGTAGAAAGAGGAAAGAGGGAGAGATTGAAGAACGATCCTAAGAGCTGCATCAGAGCTTAGTTTATGGGGATTCTTTTAACGCCTTTGTTCCTTGATTTTCTTCATCACATTGCATTATCCTAGATATTATACAGAAAAATGATTCCTTGGAAGGAACTCTTATTTGCCAATATATACGCCCTTATTTCAAAATATCCCTGTTTAAATTTTGAAGTTAAGCATAAAAATTAAGAAATTACCGTATCAATGTAAATTGTAGCAAATTCCAATGGTATTATCCCAAAATATTCTTATTTATTTTGTTTTATCTTCTAGACAAACACTTGCTCCACCCGTTGTCATTTTTATTAGTAAAATAACATGAAAAAAGAACTAACGTCTCATTGAAATTATAAAATGGCACAAATACTTTGAAATAAAACTTAAATATAATTACGAAATGATATTTGGATGCGGGGGAGGTATATTTTTTTGTTAATAATTGTATTGCGCCTCGATATTGTGCAAAGCTCAATGTTATTGAAAAGTTCCTGTAAATCATAGTGGGAATGTCTAATTTGTTTTAATGGATCTATAGATATCAAATTGTGAGCTTTTTCATAATTAACCTCCTTTGAAATATGACTTCTTTTTTTGCCAACCCTTTGAAATAGTAGTATGACTTTAAAGTATAACTAATTAACTTTATGCATGCATGGAAAGGGTATAAAACTACTGATGAGGTTCCCCCTAGTGCCTATATATTTTGATGGCCCTCTGAGTCTAAGTCAGTGAACTGTGTGCTCTATACTTTCTACAGCTAGTTTTTGGATAGTGACTCTTAACCAAACAATTTGAATCAAATTGGTAGTCACTTCCCATTTCGTGTTTCTGCATATTTCAATCATTGCTTCCACTTTCCACTACCTTCTTATCCCCCTCAACCCTAAACCAAAAGCAACAAACCTAAAAACCTGTCATTTAGTATACATATGTCTCTCAAGTTTGCCTTCGATGCCTTCCCTAATCTTCTTTGATAAGCCAAGAGGTCCGATGTAGGCCTAGGGGAAGGGGCCGGGGGCTCTCCCGCCATATTTCTACGTTCACTGAAATGAATTTTGAAAGCTACAAAAGTTCATTTATGTTTCACGCAGAGAGAAGGAGAGAGAAAGATAAAAGGGAAAAAAAATACATGGTTTTCGTTTCGAGATGTGAGATACCAGAGTGGACGACAAAGTTAATGTTGTCACCTTTCAAGTGTTGCCATCTAAATGGATACTACACAGAGAACTTCATTTGTCCACATGCATGTGTCTTCGTCAACTCGTCCGGTGGTTACAAGACAATGTTAGGGGCTCTCAGTCCTTGGCCTCACCGTCATGTTGAATCTTTTTTGAGTACTCCTCACCACTCAGTTGTACGTCTCATCTTCTCCAAAACCATCATAACACAAACACTATAATATATTAATTGTAAACATTAATACTAAGATCTGACTTTGAAAACATCAACTCGCGGTATGTTTCTCACTTTCTCTCTCTAAATACGGCATCTTTCGAGTCATGGAAGCTTCCAAACAAAAAACGACACACGAAAGAGAGCAGATCTTGCCCTTTACCTAAAATACCAACCAAGTAATACCAGACAGTTTGAGATAATTTCAGTCAGCTTTTTAAACACCAAATAAGCTCAATGACAAGAAGAAAACCATCGCCCTTTCCATGGATTTCTTCATATACTGCTCCTCTGAAAAATCTCAGACCTCCCATTTTTTTCCAATATAGTATGTTTTTCACTTTATGGCTTGTCGATGACGACAAGGATCTGTAGCAAGTGTTTGACATTTGGATCATGACGTATGGTCCTTCCGATGTTATTATATTCATATTTCGTTTACGATTTCATGAACTTGTCCCTTGCATTGGCCATATAACATATAAGTACAAGAGATTCGGTCGCAAATTCAAATCCTTAACGTTAAGTTAATATTCAAGTCGGGGAGATTACAGTCACAGTAGCAGACAAGCGACATTGAAACAACTACTGATTCTGCAGTCAGCTTCTGGACACGGATAGTTCATGAAACAGTTGTAATATTATTTGAAGTTTGAGTTGAAACAAGCAAGCTTTTGGCAAGAAGGGTCACAGACACCACTGAAGATAGTACAAACTAGTAATATATCCTTACAGAAGCAAGAAAATCAAAGTCTTGTGGAGCTACACAAAGTAAAAGTAGCTGAGCGCTGCTTAAGATTATAATGTCAACC